TCAGATTAAAAAAATTGCTCTCTTTAAATGTATGTGGATTTGAGAGGTGCTCACACATGGCTGAGGGAGGATCGCTGAAATCTAAAATTGGGCTTGTTTATTTATTTGTAGAAAGGAAAGAAGTCAGGTTTAAAACATGCTGACATTCTGTACTAACTCTTATGCTAAGATAACGAGGCCTGGAGAGGTCTATACGAGAACGGTAGGAGTTAGAAGTTCCCAAATGATGACTCTGAAGAAAGAATTCCTGTGGAAAGAAACTGTGTGCTTTGAGGAAACAATGAAGTTCAAAAAGAATGTGTGAATGTGTAAAAGGAGGTAAAGGAGTAGAATGAAGGAGAGGAGTGGTTTCTCTTAGATCTTTTTGAATACCAGGAAAGAGGAGCTTTTTCAGAGATATTTGTGACTAGGGTGAAAAATGGGAAAACCATATTTCCAGTGTCCAGGTGGTTAAATGAAATCACTCTGGTATCAGCATGGAAATAACAGTAAAGGTGGATTAGCAAGGCAATCTTTACCTTCAAAATCCTCCCCTTTTTCCCATTCACATCCTCCTCTGTATTCCTAGAGCATCTTTGGTGTACTTCACTTATTAAAGGATATCATACTTAACTACAGTCATATAGTACAATATTCAGAGCATGCTCTGCAGTCCCACAGTCTGGTTTCAAATTCCAGCTGTGACTTGCAGACGTTGATTTCTAAAGACCATTGCCTACTAAAGAGAGTCAGAATTTCTTGGGGAAAATGGTCAATTCCAGGTGTGGAGTACAGAAATATGCTTCTGGAATATGTTATTGGGCTAGAAAGCAAGACATGCTCAGAGAACTGTGAAGAAATAACCAATGGGTAAGAAACTGTTTTGGGCTCTCTTTTGTTAAATTTGGGAAACATTTAAGCATGAAAATAATAATAATAATGAATTATAACATTAATTTTTTTAAAAAGAATCAACAAGTGCATAGGGATGTTCCAAAGAGACATGAGAGAAGCAGAAAGAAGTTTTGTTTTGTAACGGAATGTCAGCTGATAAATTTTGGAGAGATAATAGAATTTGAAAGTTTTCTATTTTGCAGCCATCAATATGATAAATTATTTTTAAAAGATCATCAATGGATGCTGAAACCATTGGATAAAAGATTGCTAGAGAACAGGATATAGTATTGTATTTCAAAACATCACCCTGAAGATTACTTGAAAATAACAAAGGAGAAAAAGCTACCCTTGCAATGAAAATATCTGATGGACACTACTTCAACCAAGGAATTGGAGTTAGCATGTCTAGTATTGGGTCAAACTGATATAAAATTCCTGATGTGACATGAAATGAAATACACAACATCATCTTTGAAAAATTCTAGTCAAAAATGAAATAATCAGCCACATCTAAAATGTAAGGAATTTTCCTAAACGACTTTCCTAGATTCTTCAAATAATGCCAATGTCATGAAACATTAAATACAAAAAAAGCAGGGGGCTATTAAGGAAAATTGAAAGTGAAGAAATATGATAACGACATACAATATCATGTTCCTTGATTGGAACATGATTTGTTGGGGGTGGGAGGAACCAGCTATCTGGGCTGTTTTTGAGTCAACTGGGGATTACAAAATATATTATTGAATCAGGGATAAATTTATTGAATGTGATAGGGGTGTTGCGCTTATGTAAAAGGATGTCTTAAAAATATGTTATGATGTATTTAGGGGTAATGTATTAACAATTGTTGAATCTAGATGAAGGCTATCATCGTTGTACTATTCTTTCAACTTTTTCGTAGGGTTGAAATTTTTCAAAATAGAAAGGTGAAAGAAAAAAGTATTCTCAACTTTGGCCAGTTGTTGGCCTTGTTAAGATTATCTTTTCTGTAATATATGGGGTTACGATAATGAAAACCTCATTGGATCGCTTAACTAAATGATATCTCATGTGCAGAGAACACATAGTGAGTGTTCAATAAATATTGGCTGTATAATCCTCCTCTCCTGGAATCCTCCTCCTCCTCTGGATTCCTAGTGGAGCATGAGTTGCAGAGGACGAATCTTTGTCATCTCAATATCCCCAGTACCTGGTACATGGTGGAGGCTCAGTAAATGTCTCTTGACTTAAGAAATGAAATAAAACTATGAATAAAATCATATGAAAATTTTGGTTTTAAACGAGAGATATCACAATAACGTTTGAAAAGGTTGCACTATAATAACCTGTATGATATATGGTTCATACCATCAGATTGTTATCCCGCTACAATAGTTTCTTTTACTTTCCAAATGGCCGCTTGTGTATGTCTATACTGTAAGACAAAGGTTCTCAACTTGAGCATGCATCAGAATCAAGCAGGAGGCTTATGACTCACTCCCAGAGGTTCTCATTCAGTGCCTCTCAGGTGAGTTCTGAGAATTTTGCATTTCTAACAAGTTCCCAGGTGATGCTGATGCTAATGCTGTTGGTTCAGAGGTTTTGCTTTGAGAACCATTGCTGATGAGAAACTCCTGAAGTAGGAGGAGTCCAGCAAATGCAAGGGAAATGCTGCAGCTCCCTAGGCGGTCTCTGCAGAAGAGCTTCCTTGATCTTTGTAACTGGTGTCTTTGGAAAGTAACGCAAGAAGTGAAGGGAGCTGGTTCCTGTGACCCCATCAACATCTCCCTAGGGTAAAATGGTCTTTCATCAACATTTAGACAATGACATTGCACACAGAAAGGATGATTTTTAAACATCTACAAAATGATTGTATGTTAAATACCTTCATCATATATGGCATACATGCATATTCATAAATGGATACATAAAATCTAATTTATTCCTAGTTTGAGTCTTAAAAATAGATTTAAGAAGTACAAGTGCCATTTCATTACATGAATATATTGTGTAGTGGTGAAGTCTGGACTTTTAGGGTAGCTATCACCCCCTGGTGTGGGTCTTAATAAAGCAAAATAAGAGAAGAAGAGAGGAGAGAGAAAGAGTGAGTGAGAAGGAGAAAGAGGATTACCATTGCTGACTGCAAGAGTATAACCACATTAGTAAATTCCCTGCATTAATGTACACTTCAGCAGAGTGAGAAAACCAAGCTCAGAGAAGTTAGAACGATGATGTGGCCCAGATAGCAGCAAAACTAGAAAAGAACACCAGGTGTTTGGGTCTACAACTAGGTCATACTGCTTTGCTGCAGTTCCTGGAGTGTGATAGCTTTTTCGCATCCTTTCCAGGCCTCTTTCAGTGCATGGAATAGAAATGCTGTCCTACTTTTTCTCCAAACCTGGGAACTTTGAGCAGAGTCCATATTTAAAACCAATAAAATTCAGAAATTTAATTCTTATTGAAAATGCAATAATGAGAGTAATGAGATTTTGATTTTGAATTGTATGAAAGAATATCCCTTATGAATTATAATACTTGCATTTACTATTCCTCAAAGGAAGGAAAATCACAGTTTTATAGACTTCCAAGACAATTTTAACTTAAACCTCTGTTTTCCGATGAGTTTGCGTCCTTTGTAGGGACATGGATGGACCTGGAAACCATCATTCTCAGCAAACTGACACAAGAGCAGAAAATCAAACACCGCATGTTCTCACTCATAGGCGGGTGTCGAACAATGAGAACACATGGACACAGGGAGGGGAGCACTACACACTGGGGTCCTGTTGGGGGGAAATGGGGGAGGGACGGGGGGGTGGGGAGGTGGGAAGAGGTAGCATGGGGAGAAATGACAGATACAGGTGAGGGGAAGGAAGGCAGAAAACCACACTGTCATGTGCGTACCTATGCAACAATTTTGCATGTTCTTCACATGTACCCCCAAACCTAAAATGCAATTAAAAACAAAAAACAAACAAACAAAAAAACCCCTGTTTTCTTGCTGTTTGTAGTAATGACCTTTCTCCTTAAGGTTAGTCACCAGTGAGTAATAGAATAGAGGAACAAAGAATGATGTTCTAATAATTAATACATGCAGTGTCTAGAATCCCTTTAAGCCTGTTGCTCCCGGTTCTCCTAAGAGGGTAATGTCCCTGGCATCTCTTAAAAGAATCATGTGTTCCAAACTGGCCAGACATCCAATGTTCTTTGCTATGAGCCCCAATTTTTATTTTCTAATGTGCTAGTATTTTCTAAGAAAATCTAATAAAAATCATGAAAGACTGAATAAGAAATGGAATGACAATTTCACATGAAAGCATGTACCTACCATGACTATTTTAAAGAAAGGAAATGTGCCTCTCCAATCTCAGGAGCTCCTGAGAATGTGAACCATCGCCCATGGTCTGTCTTTGGGATCTGGACAACCAGAGAGCTCCCAGGACTGAGAACCTATCATTACTAATTATATAGATTCAATATATATTCCTCTTAACTTTGCAACACAATGGCAGCCCTAAGCTCCTTTTTCAGCTCCTAAATACAGCCCCCTTAATATAGCACATTAAGGAAAACTATATAAGTAGACCAGTTAGGTCACATGCTAATTCCATTACCTTAATTGGTTCCCCATGGTATATTGAATACCGAACATGTTTATGGACTTTATTAAGTGCTAGGCAGTGTTTTAAGCATTCCCACACTTTCACTCTTTTAATACAACAGAAGAGGTTAAGTGACTTGTCTAAGGTCACATGGAGCCAGGATTCACACTCAGGAAGTCTAGCTCCAGATTTCATGCTCTTAATTGTTACTCCACATCAGAGTGAAGTTCTGTGGATTTGGTGTCTGTTTCTTTTTTTTTGAGAAGGAATCTCAATCCGTTGTGCAGGCTAGCATGAAGTGGTTATCTAATTTCTCTGAATTTTGTTTTCATTCATACAAGATGGAGATAATATCTTGTAGATGTAGGTGAAATGATATGCTCAGTTCATACTAGGAATTCTGGAAGTTTTGGTTCCTCAAATCCTCTACCCCTTGTAAAAGATAAGGTAGTTTTTGCAATGTAATGCCATATACCGTAAATAACAGGAGAAATATAACATTGATTTTATATATAACTGATTGCTCAACTAAAGTACTCCTTAAATTAATATTGCTTGATTTTTTTTTATTTTTAAGAGAATTACAGAGACTTTTAGACATTTGTAGAATTAAGACAAAATGTTAATGGTATATATTCTTTGGTTCCATTAATATGTCGTTCTTGACCGCAAATGATCAGTCTTACAGAATGGAAGATACTGAACAAAACTAATTCTATTTAACTTTTCTTTAGTAGATTTCAGGAGCTACCCTTGGGGGCATGTGTGAGCTGCTAACAGAAGTTTCAAAGCTGGATGAAATGAAGGATGATACATATTTTTACTACCAGGCACAACTATCCCATCTTGCTCTTACCATCCATGGGCTGCCTCTTTTTGGAAAGGTGTTAAAGGGGCAGGATTCTAGCTTGAGGAAGAAAGAGAGTCATTGGCAGCCTGATCCATCCTAGATCAGCCACATGGAATTTCTCTGTGGAGGAGAAAATAGTCCAGTTTCTATGACGATCACAGATGCTCTGCCAAGACTGCCAGTCAGGGTGCCGGCACTGCTAATTGCTATGCAGACATCCATTCATTAGACTTTGACCTAGAATTACTGTTGTCTTTCACAAGGTAGGCAGTGAATCACTGCGTTTGGCCCTTGCTTCGTCTCTTTCAGCCTAGGTTTGATTTGGGTCAGAAGTGCACTCTCTGCAGGTCATTACTTATCTTAGGAAAGTTCCTGAAGGGCATCTTTTACAAAAGGCTAGGGTTTTATTTGAAAACAGAATATTAGTTGCCAGTCTAAGGGCTTAGAGGGAGCTGGTTGTAATCCAGCTGTGCCACTCAGTGGTTCTGTGATCTTGGGCAAGTTGCTTGGCTCCTCTCAGCCAGTTATCGTATCTGAAAATGGGGATAGCAGTGTATCTGTTCTCAGTGGACTGCTATGAGGTATGAACAGGAATGAGTTGGAAAGATTCTCTGATGCCTGTGATGGCAACTGGAATGAGCAGGGGAAACTGGATGGACTGATACCTAGATAACTGGGCACTCAAGATCTGCTGGTGGCCAGCCACCACTTACATCCCTTGGCTCTCTCCATTAATGTGGCATCCTTAGTAATTCAGTTTGCTTCTCTTCATCCTTTATCCTCCATGAGTTTGAGAATATTGAAAATCTGTGAAGAAACCTGTGATAATCAACTGGCAATGTGAATTCAAAACAAGTTTTGTTACTTCTCTCTGTAACTAACAGAAAGGGTTCATTTTATGTTTTTGTAGAACTCTAATTTTAGATTTCAACCTTACTCCTAAAATTCTAGAGAGAGAACTATGGATCTGGAGGGCTTTACTTTGGTTATGGAGTTGAAATACACTAGTGGGAGGTAAATTCAGATGTGTCCTACTTAAAGAAGTAAAACCAATGACTAAGAATAAACTTTTTGGGGCTTTCCTGGTAATATAAGGTAGATTCTGTGGACATAGGGACAGTTATAAAAACTGGGGTCTTCATGATGAGGAAACATGTCTGTCTAACCCTATCAAGGTCACCTAACAGTTGCAAAGAAATGGAACAGGTTTGAATCCTAGTCTGCTCCCTTACTAGCTCTCTCATGTGAGCCTCTCTCATGTTTGTTATCTGCGAAATTAGACAACACATGTAAAGTGCTTAGCACAGGGTCTGGGACTTCAGGTAAACAGTATTTTCTTATTCACATCCCAAATGTGAACATTGTGATTAGATTCATATATGAACCCACTGGAAATGAGTGCTAGAGTTCTTCCAGGGAACTTTATAGAGTGAGCTGAAAATTCAGCACCACTAACCTCCTGTGGACCATTTTTGAAGGGGCAATGTGATGGCAGAACAATTTCCAACTGGAATTTTGCTGATAGTTGTAAAAGCAACTGGACAGGAAGATAGAGAAGTATCTTTGGAAATGTCTGTATTTTAAAAATGTAGAGGAAATATCCAAATGAAGATTTTTTTTTTACTGGAGTTATATTCTGACTTTGAATAAAATGAGTTAATTTTCATCGTGTCCATCACTGCACTCCTGATGCTGGAGTCCACATTGGAAGCAACTGCACAAGTGGAGGGACTGAGCCTTGCATTGCTAACTGTTGCAACTCGTGATTTTTTTCTCAGTGAACATGGACCTCCTCTAAACATGGGCATTTAATCTTGCCATAATGTTTTATCTGCCTAAATGTCAAATGTATTTTTTTCTCTAGCTGCATCAAAAACAATTTTTAATCTCCCCAACCCCTCTTCTTCTGCTGCTCTTCTCTGCCTCCTACACAGGAGACCAGAGCACAGATCCTAAGAGTACTGGGAACAGACAGCAAAGTCTCAACATGTTCCTGGTGTGGGAGGAGATTGTGTGAGTGAGTTGGCTGCCACATCTGGGGGAGGCCTGGATGATGAAAGATGGCAGCTGTGATGATGAGAGAAGAGCCAGCTTCTGGGAGGCAGGGGCAGGCTTCTCTCTTATTCCTTCCAGCTCTATCCAAATACCATTTGTGTGAATCAGCTGCCACTTGGCTTTAAGGGATGTTGCTGCCAGATGCTCCCAGTCCCTCTTCTTGCAGCAACAGCCACTGCCCTTCTGACCCTTCCGCCTGCAGTAGGAGTCTTCTAGAACCACTCGATGGCCATGGGGTGCAAGCATGGCAGCTGGCTTTTTTCTTCCACAGAATATGTATAGGACTTTGATAGTGACAATGAAGGAACTGGAGCAGTTCCTGGTTGTGTCAGTGAGCATCTTCGCTGGCACTTTCTCTGACTTTTTTGAGTGCTTCATGTGCGTGGGACTCTGTGCTAAATTCATTATGTGCAACATCTCATTTATCCTCACAGCAATGCTGTGAAATGGCTACTGGGCATCTCTGGGCTTCGCAGCTGTGGCAAAGGGGAAAGGAATTCAAACTCCAGGCCTACTGTGCTGTATGACTTCCCGTTACAAACAAATACTCTAGAATGTGAGGTCCTGGGAGAGCCTGCTGTTTGTAGCTCTGAGTATGGGGGTTGTAGAAGACCCTGAAGAGTCCCAAAATTAGGGTCTTTTCCCAGCCATTGGAAGTGTGAAAGTAGTCAGAATCAAAATGAAGTCACTTGTCTTGAAAAAACCTTGACAAATAGAGTTGGGGAAGGCTATGAAGAGAGAGTTCTCATACATAAATAGTCTGATAACAGAAACTATCACAAGAAACTCTGAAAAAACCCCACAACTTTGCATAGAGGCCATTGCAAACTCACACAAAAAAATTTCTTTGAGAACATCTGCCCAACAACTGCCTGCTCAGACTCAGACTGCTGTCACCCTGTAGCCAAGGATAATTATCTCAAAACTATTGTATAATCATCTTTATTTTTCTTTAAATACTTTTACCTCCCTGAATACATGCCTTATTTACTATGGCTCCTGTATTGTAATACCCTTTCCCTGAATAAACACCATTTTCTTTTAGAGAGGCTTTCTCTGTTGGTCATTTAGGTTGACAGAGGGCAACAGCAGTGATACAGAGGAGCCTCTGAGGGACCTGGATTTCCCTTAGAACTTTCCCATTCTGTCTGGCAAAACAGCCTGTGAGGATACCAGGTTGAGCAAGGAGCCCTCAATTCTGGCACTCGCTGCAGCCATTACTTCCATGTCTTCCCTGGTTGCTCCAGGCTGCTCTGCCTCATCCACCTGATATTGCCCTAAATATCTCCTGAATGGCACCTTAGTGTATAGACTCCACCTTATTGTTCTGCCTTTTTACCTGAGTCATGGCCATGACTCAGCTGGTCCATGGTATTGCCCTCCTACTGCTGCGCCTTGCTCAGAATGCTTCTCATAACCTGAATTAGTGCCCAACGGAGCCTCCATTGGCAGATGTTTACAAGATTTTCCATTCTATACAGTCTTCCACTATCCGTTTCCTCTTCCTCATATGCCATATTGAAGCAACTTGGAAATTCTAGCAAGTTTTCTAGAAAGCTACAAACTTGGTATCTCTGTCCAAGTTCTGCTCATCTGTCTTACACTTGTAGCTGCCCTCCTGGTGGTTAAACTAGATTCACAAGATACTGAGATGCATGAACTGCAATATATCATTTAGGATTTTTTGTTGTTGCAAGCAATAGAAACTATGCCTGGCAGCTTAACACAATGAAAAGGAAACAGACAGAAGGAGGGAAGAAGGGAGGAAGAGAGACCAAGCGTGAGAAATAGAAAGAACCAACCCCAACAATTTCTTACTCTCCTGTCATTCTACTCAATATTTAATGTTTAGGAAACAGATAGGTCTATCTTGATCCCTGTGTCCTTGGTAGGACACTTTTATTGACCATCCCACCAAAACTGCGTGCCATGGGGATGGGACATGCACTAAAGGAGCCATTAGAGGACGGGGAAGTGAACGCCACACAGAGAACAACAAACACCCACCAAAAAAAAAAAAAAAAAAAAAGGCAGAGGTTTCTTGAGGCCCTTCGAAAGCCTCTCTAGATGTCACGGTGAAGCCTTCCCTTGGGTGTAGGTTCTCCACGGACTAGAGTTCAACTTGGGCAGTGAAAAGAAATAATTTTCTCTAAAAACAAAAGTTGCTACTGAATCATAGTTTTAAAATGAGGCCAGAAATTTATTTTTATTTATTTATTTTTATTTTTAACTTTTAAGTTCAGGTTTACAGGTGCAGGTTTATTATATAAGTAAACTCATGTCATGGGAGTTTGCTGTATGGATTATATTTCATTACCCAAGTGCTAAGCCTAGTACTCATTAGTTATTTTCCCTGATCCTCTCCCTCCTCCCACCCTCCACCCTTCAATAGGCTCCAGTGTCTGTTGTTTCCCTCTGTGTGTTTATGTGTTCTCATCATTTAGCTCCTATTATAAGTGGGAACATGTGGTATTTGGTTTCCTGTTTCTGTGTTAGTTTACTAAGGATGATGGCCTCCAGCTTCACCCATGTTCCTGCAAAGGACATGATCTTGTTCTTTTATACGGCTGTATAGTATTCCATGGTATATATGTACCACGTTTTCTTTATCCAGTCTATTATTGTTGGGCATTTCAGTTGATTCCATATCTTTGCTATCGTGAATAGTGCTGCAGTGAACATACATGTTCATGTGTCTTTATGACAGAATGATTTGTATTCCTTTGGGTATATACCCAGTAATGGGATTGCTGGGTTGAATAGTATTTCTGTTTTTAGCTCTTTGAGGAATTTCCACACTGTTTTCCGCAATGGTTGGACTAATTTACACTTCCACCAACAGTATATAAGCGTTTCTTTTACTCTGCAACCTCACTAACACCTGTTGTTTTCTGATTTTTTTTAATAGAAGCCATTCTGACTGGTGTGAGATAATATCTCATCATGGTTTTGATTTGCATTTTTGAATGATTGGTGATGTTGAGCTTTTTTTCATATGCTTATTGACCACATGTATGTCTCCTTTTGAAAGGTATCTGTTCATATCCTTTGCCCACATTTTAATGGAGCTGTGGAACTGCACGGTGGCATCTGTGTTCTGTGAAGAGTCTAGAAGAAGAGAGACTTATAAGAACCTGTGTACTCCAGGGCCACATGCAGAAGGTTTTTGTGTATCCTGTTAGTTTTAAAATGATAGATAGTATTAAAATGTTGAGACTGACATGCTTAAGGCTGAGCTTCTATATCTCTCTTAAGTGCCCATGTACGTTCTCCCATTTGCATTAGTACTTTTGCATGGGGCAGGTATGACCTTATGCTAAGAAACTACTAGGCAAATGCCCTTCCTGAAGTCTTCAAGGATCTTGGCTATGGGTGCCGTCATCTCTGTTTTCATGAAGGCCCCTGTTTTCCTCAGTTAATTACAAAGAGGTATCTTTAACAGCTTGGTTTGTCCAACTTTCTTCATTTGAGAAGGCAGATATAGCAAGGTCTTATGTGCTGTATGTGTTGTCTCCTCTGAGGTACCTATGGAATCTTGTTCTAACCACATTCATTACAAAGTGAAATTTAGGCCAGCTGTGATAACAGGTGGCTCACACCTGTAATCCCAGCACTTTGGGAGGCCGAGGTAGGTGGAGCACTTGACTGCTTCAGGAGTTCAAGACTGGCCTGGGCAACATGTCAGAACTCCATCTCTACATAAAAATACAAAAATTAGCTGAGACTGGCGGTATGTGCTGTAGTCCCAGCTACTTTGGAGACTG